CTTTCAGCTGCATGTCCAATCTGGAGCTGATCACTCCACACTTGTTTAACCTGCCCGTGATGTTCTTAGCTCTGTGGTCACCAATGAGTTCACTCACCAATGTACCCAACTTCATCATCATGGTGAGAGAACGGACAGTGTCCTTGGAGCATGGCCCAATGAACAGCTGGCATTTGCCTCTTTTCTCAGCACTGTAAATGCTCTACAGGGCATCGGCCAGGACACTCATGCATACTGTAGTGTTGGCACCAAAAGATGGCACCAAGAGAACTCTGCTATTTCTACACTACTAGAGTTATAATCCACAAAGGATGTTGAACGCTGTCAAATTTCTGAGCCAAATATTTTCTTATCTCATTCTGCTAATGAAATATATTACATGGATTCTTTTGCCTATGTTAAACTAAGGATATCAGGAATATGCATATTAGTGATACATCCTATTTGTTCATGCTGTATATAATCTTTGGATATGTTGCTGAATTCAGTTGTTTTCTTTTACACTTTATTGAGGAATTCTGCAACGGTGCTCATTAGAGATATTGGCCTGTGGTTTTCTTTTTTGAGGCCTATGGATGAAGATGGAGCTAACCTTTTGGCTAAGATCAAGTGTCACCTATCTTTTCATCTCACCAAAGATGCTTCTGGACGGCTCTGTTGCAATCTGGCCACTTTCCAGCTCTGCTGCCCGGCTGCCTCTCCTCCTGACACCCTGGAGATCCTGCTTACCACTCTTCTTTTCCTTTTCCCCCTGGCCTTCTCTCATACCTCACTCTCTTGTTGATGATGTTCAGATGATTTAGCAACATTCTGAGAAGAAGCATGCAGAAAGTGGAGGGGTGCTGTGATGCGGTATAAAATTCTAGCAGGAAAAGTGCTATTCCTTAAAATGTAGAAGATATCCCTCATTCGTTGTCTGAGTGCTGCTGAGAAGTTTGAAGCCATCCTGTTTGCTGATCTTAGAGTGTTGGTTCCTTCTTAACTCAGAGCCAGGCCTATTCTTTACTCAGTCCAGAGTGACTGCTTTCATTTGGTAATTCACACCCTTGCATAACTAGAAATGTTCTTGAATTATGTCATTGATTATTTTACCTTTCTCCTCACTAATTTTTGGAATACCAATTATCTAAATGCTGAACTCCTTTCATAAATATGCTTTTACTTTTCTGTTTCTACTGTTCTCTATCTAGATTTCCTCTATGTTTTAGAAAGCTGTCCCAATGTTATTAAAAAATTTTTTGCAACCCACTTTTTTAATTTCTAAGAATTCTGTTTTGTATTGTAAATCATTGTTTTTGTCACAGTCATTGACCTTAAGTTAATTCAAAACTGACTCATTTATCCAAGAATATCAATGCTAGCTTTTATTCTTTTCTACAACCTGATTAGTCCTGTTAATAATTTTTTATTTTTTATTTTTCTCACTTGTCCCTGTCCGCTTGTGTGGATCCTATGACCAACAGCTGAGTCACCTGATGCCTTTTCTCAAGTGTCTGGTAATCCTTGTCTGTCACTGATATTTAAGGGACTAAAAGGCTGGCTGAACGGTCTGAGTTGATGGTTGCACATGTTAATATGAGGCTGGTTATAGGGATGATGTGGCTGGACTGCTGAATTTGGAAACACTGATAGCCAACATCTTTACAGCCTGGATCCAACAGGCTTCCCAAGGACACTTCTCTAAACTCTAATCAGGATGGCAAGCTCATGTTGGACTGCCAATCTCCCAGCTGCTGAATGAAAAAAAAGGACATTAGACATCCAAACTGACCAAACTTCTATGACCCTTGGTGTCTTTCAGCCTACAGATTTTGTTTCCCAAAAAGAAAAAAAGGATCCAATATTTTGTTGGAGGAACTCTAGGATGTTACCTGGAAGCCTGAGTTGTGGACAGGATGAAAGAATTTAATGGCTTCTTAAACGGTTTTTAAACTCTCTTACTTTATTGCCCCTGTTCCTGCCTATTTTTCTTTCAGACATACCAGCCAATTCTTCTACAATCTGAGGACTCTGTGGTATACAGCTGTCCCTTATTATTTGAGGATGACTAGTTCCAGAACCCTTGCGGATCCCAAAATCCTTTGGATATTCAAGTTCTTATATAACACAGTGACGTATTTGCATGTAACCCACAGAATCCTTCCATATTCATTAAACCATATTATTATAAACTGAACTTCAGTAACAATACCAAATAAAATGTAAATGTCATGTAAATAGTTCTATGCTACAATATTTTTTTGAGGAAAAATAACAAAGAAAAAGTGCATACAAGCTTAGAAGAGAATAATAGCTTTGTTCTGCAAGTGGCTGAATCTAAGGAAGCAGAGTCCATGAATCAATATCAGGTTGATATTTAGAATTTTAAGCTTGGTGAAATTAACTGCTAATTGTTTGTATTCTCTCCAGCTATTTGTCATTGTTGCTGCTTCCATTCCTATGGTTTTTATCCTTGAGAGCTAATAGAATGTTATATATATATATATCCTCCATACTGTAGTTTTGCCAGGATTTCTTAACCAGAAAACACTTAGTATTTGAAGCATTTAATGAAAAAAAAAACCCCTTAGTTTACAAGTACACATATGGAATTCATGTGCCTCATTTCAAAATAATCAACAAAGAACAAATTGAGTGATAATCTAACATTAGGATCCCATGCATAAATGAAAGTGAATTTCACATGAGGCTAGAAATTCTGTCATGATGATCCCCCCTCCTATTTTAAAAAATATTTATTTACTTTTAATTGGAAAGGTAGATTTAGAGAGGGAAGGAGAGACAAAGAAAGATCTTCCATCCACTGGTTCACTTCCTGAGTGGCTGCAATGGTTGGAGGTGAGCTGACCCAAAGCCAGGAGCCAGGGATGGGAAGTGGAGCAGCCAGGTGGGAACTAAAGCTTCTGTGGGATCCTGGCACTTGCAAGGCAAGGATTTAAACCACTGAGACACAGTTCCAGGCCCAAGGATGACCTTTCTTGTTTTAAGTTTTTTTTTTTTTTTTTCACTCTGTTATGGCATAATGGATTAAGCTGCCATTCAGAGCACTAGCATCCCATCTTATCCTTGTTACTCATCCTAAACCTGCTCTCTGCTAATGCAACCGGGAAGGCAGTAGAGCTAAGTACAAGTGCTTAGCACCCTTCACCCACATGGGAGACCCAGGGCTTCAGCCTGGCCCTCTCTGGCCATTGCAGCTATTTGGGGAGTGAACCACCTGATGGAAGACCTCTGGGTTCATCTCTCCTTCATTCTAACTCTGCCTTTCAAATAAATAAAACTTTCAAAAATGAAAACTTACTTTACTTGAAAAGCAGAATCAATCAATCTCTCTCTCTCACACACATACACACACAGAATGAATGAATGAATGAATGAATCTTATGTCTGTTGGTTCGTGCCCAAATATGCCAAATAGTAAGAGCAGAGCAAGGCCAAAGCCAGGAGTCTGGAACTCTACTCATCTTAGTCATGTGTGTGGTAAGGGCCCAAATACTTAAGTCATTATTTGTTGCCCCCCGAGGGTGATTAGCTGGAAGCAGAATATCTAGGATTCCTACCAGGCACTTTATACAGGATAGAAGAGAGGCAGCTTAACCCACTGCACCATGATGCCTGCCCTTTCAGGTATACTTTTATGGCATTCTTTGTCCCAGAGGCTGTACCAGAGTCCCTATCAGCAAAAGGAGTTGTGAAAGTGGAATCATGTTTTTTTTGTGCTTGATTCCAGAATCAGCTTAGAATATTAGAGCATTGTTCCCTCACCTCTTCATATTTGTTTGGCTTAAAACAGCAGATTCAAAACAGCAATAAAGTACTTTGAGAGTGAATCTATGATTCACCAGCTATCACAGGTTGAACAGAGACACAGGATACATGGGAAGTATTTTTGACTCCAGTGGTTTGCCTATGACACTAAGTCATGTCCAGATAGAATCAGTGAGTCACTATCTTAGTGTTTCAAGAGGAACATTTTGCTCATGACTGGGAATTTCCCCATAAAATTTAAAAGATTCAGCACTCAAAAACTCACTTTTTTAAAAAAACTCCTATGTCTTTGATCTGTGCAGTTTTTGAAGATGAAGGTGTATGTGTATCACCTGCCTAAGAAATAGATGAACCCTTCAGTGAAATTCTCCATCTTTCCAATTTTGGTTTCCAAGTCACTGAATACCCAATTTATGCCACTGTGTTTTAAAACACACATACACACATACACATATACACACATACACAGTCTATGCAACACTTCTAGAAAAAATGCAAAATTCACAACAAAAATGTTTACACTGTACAAATGTGGTAGTTCAAGTCATCATACACTTTAAAACACGGGGTATGTATGGTGGCTCTGTGGGGGCATGTACTGTGGTTCCGTGGGGCATGCAGTGTGGCTCCGTGGGGGCATGTACTGTGGCTCCACGGGGTATGTTCTGTGGCTCCATGGGGCATGTACTGTGGCTCCGTGGGGCATGTACTGTGGCTCTGTGGGGGCATGTACTGTGGCTCCACGGGGTATGTACTGTGGCTCTGTGGGGGCATGTACTGTGGCTCCACGGGGTATATCCTGTGGCTCCGTGGGGCATGTACTGTGGCTCCGTGGGGTATATCCTGTGGCTCCGTGGGGCATGTACTGTGGCTCCATGGGGCATGTACTATGGCTCTGTGGAGGTATGTACTGTGGCTCCGTGGGGTATATCCTGTGGCTCCGTGGGGCATGTACTGTGGCTCCGTGGGGCATGTACTGTGGCTCAGCGGGTTAAGCTGCACCTGTGATGCTGATATTGGAGGGTTGGTTCAAGTCTCAGCTGCTCCATTTCTCATATAGCTCTCTGCTAACATGCCTGGGAAAGCAGCAGAAGATGGAGCAACATGTGGTGGGAAACCTAGATGGAGTTCAAGGCTTTTGGACTCTGATCTGGCTCACGCCACTGGGGTCATTTGAAAAGTGAACCAGCTAATGGAAGACTCATTCTCTCCTTTTCTTTCTCTTCTTTCAGGAATGAATGTTTTACTGTTTGTAAGAGCAAGGAACAGAAGACAGAATGCAGCCCAGGTATTGAGCTTTTTTCACTTAGTTATGGAATCTGGGGCAAGTTGACTTAATGAAATACTGTTGAAAGAATAGCAAGAAAAAAAGAATGCAAGAAGCACACACTATGTTTGAGTGCAGTAACATTCACACAATAGAAGCTTTTTCCCCTTTTCCCCTGCCCTAGTCACTTCTTATCTTTAACAGCACTTGTCTGAAGCCAGACTATTATGAGTACCAAAAATAAAGGAACAGAACATTCATCTTAGATTGTAAGACTTGAGATGGAATACAATAGAGGAGTGTACTTTCATCCACTTAAAAGCTTATCTGGCTCATATTTGATCAGTTTTTCCTTAATGCTGAAATAAACATGGTAACCAGGGGCAAGTATTCGAATGGAGTTTCATATTGGATTACCAGATACACCCTGCTAACCAGAATACATACTTAATGTTAGCGTTACCATTGAAAATGACATGTTTAAGTCTCTCAGGAGGTTATAAATATAAAGTTATTAATGAGCCAGGGCCACAGTCATCACAGAAAAGAGACTCAGATTAAAAAATCTAGATAAGTTTTTTTTTTATCTTTAGAAGTTATTCCAAAGAGTCTACTCACTTGTAACACTGTTATTAGGGTAATAAAAATGAGTTCAAATATTACAATTTTAATAAATCAAGTTCATATCAAAGGCACAAAGGAATTATATAGGTCTCTATAATTTTTCTGAAACTTACATGAAACAAAGCATGTAGAAAAGTTAGACTGAAATATAATAAAGATGACTTTCAAAGAATAAAATTCATATTCTCTTAATACATATTTATCCAATCTTTCTTACTACTCTATTGGAACTTTCTAAAAGCAGTATGATAAAAAAGAAATATCAAAAGTAAAGCAAAAAATTAAACAACCCGAGTGCATTTCTTCTACAGGGTGTTCTCTTTCAGCATTTTAAATGATTTCCAATCAGCTCGCTACACGCCAGAGATGAAGACTACTAGCACTGAAGTCAGGGTCTCAGAGTGCATCTGAGTCTTCAATGTGTATCTACGGTCCATGTATTTAAGCACACTTGAAATACTGACTTTCCCAAGTCCCCAAATACAGACATTCCTGATTCTTTCCTGCAGTGGCTTATAATTAACTGAAGAGTTAGATGAAGGGGCCTTTGGTGTCTGTGGGGTTTTTCTTATCATAACCTTCTTGGACAAAAACCACTTGCCAGGGAAACAGGGTCTTTTCTGGAGTTAGCGAACGCTTGTCATGTGAGTATGACACACATTCAGTCCAGCACCAGTGGGTCAGAACTGGACAGAGCTGCATGGTACTCTGCGGCAGGCAGCTATGCGCGTAGGGTGAGAGGGCAGAGAACTGTGAGGAGTAGCAAGAGAACAGAGGGAAAGATAGGTTCGGCAAGGATGCTTCCGGCAGAGGAATCAGGAGTGTGTCTTTGAGAAACCACCTGCAGAGGCCCTGGGGAGCACGCTCCTCTTGGTGTTTCACGGGGCCCTCGTATGGGTCCCCAAACACCATGCTGTGAACCCCCTTTTATAACATACTAACCAGACGCCTGTTTCAATTCAACACAGATTAATCACACTTAACTTTTCTGATGTCTCAATGTTCAAGACGGAAGACACCAAAAGGCTTTGTGATGATGGCAAGGCCAAGACAGCATGTGGGCACTGGCAAGCCTCCTTCTGTGCAGCTGAGCTGAACAACCACCTTTTCTGTGTTTTACGTTTTTTCAGTAATAAACATTTTTTACCTTCTTTTCCTTTAGCGTCTTTAAAATTTTAGTGAGAGAATGGATAAATGGATAAAAGGGAACCGCTCTGCTTAAAAAGGGTTTTTAAAAGAATTTCCAATTAGACCTCCAGTTTCTTCAAATGTTCCCAAATCTAGCATGTTCATTCTCTCCCTCTCCCTCTCTCTCTCTCTCACACACACACACACACACAGACTGAGTTGATAAGCTTATCATCTGGTGCTTAAAATAACAAAAACACAAAGATAAAGAGGCTACAAGGAAAAAGCCAATCTTATAAATGTAGAGCTACTTTGGCTTCAGAACAGACAAGATTACCAAGGGCAGACAAGGGGAGGGACCAGAAAGGAGTGTACAGGGTCTGGCAGTTCCAAATCAGAGTGGAAGAGGCACAAGCCTCATCCAGGCAATAATCTCATGACAGTACTGGTTGGAGAAAAAGGCAGAAGAAATTATTGCTGCAAGTTTTAAAAAACATTCAAGGGTCCTTGTAAAATGTGCTGTCCTACCAGGACTTTATCTACAAGTCTATGTGGCATTAACAACAGAAAGAGAAATTATTACAATTAATTCAGCTATCTTGGAAAGTCAGATAATTTAAAAGGATTAAAATATCCCACAAGGGCTGGTGCTGTGGGCACTGGATTAAGCTGCCACTTGTGACACTGATATCAAGTACAGTTTTTAGTCTCATTGACTCTGCTTCTGATTTAGCTTCTTGCTAGTGTGCCTGGAGGCAACAGATGAGGCTTCAAGAATGCGGGCCACCCTGCCACCCATGTGGGAGGATGGAGTTCCTGGCTTGAGGCTTCAGCCTGGTCCAGAGCTGGCTGCTCCGGTCAATGGGGAGTAAATCAGCAGGTGCAATCAAGCAATCAGTCTCTCTCTCACCCTACTTTATATATAAATAAATATGCTGTAAAGAATAAGTTATGCCCCCCCCAACTAGTAGGTTAGTTCCTTATTGTTGCAATAACAAACTAACAAACTCAGAGGTTTAAGACAACACAAACTGCGTATCTCACAGTTCTGGAGGTCAGGAATCTCAAATGGGCTTTGGAGCAGAGAGGAGGCTCTCGGGGAGATTCTGCTATGCTGGATCCTTGGATCCATGGTTCATTCCTTCCCTGACATTCCAAGGGCATCATTCTGCCATCTGCTTCTGTCCTCTCATTTCTAAGTTTGGCACTCTTGCCCCCTTCTCAACAAGAGCCTTATGATTACAAAGAACGTACCCAGAAAATCGATAGGAATCTATCTTAAAAACTTTCATTTAAACACATCAACAACTCCTTTTCATTATGGAAGCTAAGAGTCGCACATTTTATGAGTGAGAAGTATATATTTTGGGACGGGGTCATTACTCGGCCTACACTGACTGGTCTCATTTTTGCCATGTAAGCCGCATAGAGAGCTGATTTAGTTATGTTTCATTGCTCCTGATTTACATTCCAGAAAAATTCAATCACTTGATTATATGAGCAAAAATGAATCAGATTTATGATAAAGTTAGAAGGTGAATAAGTATGGAGTGGAGATACAAGAGTCAGGACAATCATCCTGGGGAAGAAAAAGTATCGAGATCTTAGATAGATCTTAGATACACTTTGTCTTAAACTGAAAGACAAAGAATCAAAGGCTTTTTAGGAAATTTAGAGAGATCACAGAAACAATCATAATGAAAAAATCTGGTAAGTGATCTGTTGCTATCTAGACACAACAAAACCACGGTTAGTTGAAATACTCAGTGAAGAATGATGTGGTCTGGACGTTGGCTGCAGCAGCTTCAGTTGCTGGAGCCCACTGGAATGGATTCCTGGCTCCTGTCTTTGAACTCAGCCAGCTCTGGCTACAGTGGCTAACTGGGGAGTGGATCAGCGGATCGAAGCAACCTCCCACTTCTCCCTTGCCTCTTCTTCTGTCACTCTGCCTTTCAAACAAATCAATAAAAAAAAAAAATTTTTTTCAAATAGAAGTACCAACTGGCAGCAAACACAACTACTTAGATAAGAATGTCAAGATAGCCTTAAAAAATGTGAAAATGAGAAGTATTTTTTCAGAAAAGGGCTTTCCTAGAGTCGCCTGGAAGCCAATCAGTAACAAAAGTCTAAGAATCTACAGCATAAGAATTCCTGAATTGTTTTTTCCCTGGGGTTGGTGTGGTGCAAGTAGTAAATGCTACCGCCCACATGGCAGCATCCTATGCCAGTGCCACCTTGAAGCTCAGCTGCTCTGCTTCCAATTCAGCCTCTGAAAAATAGTCCAAGGACTTGTGCCCCTGCAATCCATGTGGCACATGGCATTCCGGGAACTGGTCTGCCTGGCCCAGCCCCAGCTGTCACAGCTATATGGGGACTGAAGAAGATGAAAGATCTCTTTGTCTTTCCCTCCCTTTCTAACTTTTTCAAACACATAAATAAATATTTAAAAATTTCTTTCCTGTTTTTCAAAGAAAAAAGTTTAATCTGAAGAATTAGGATTTTAAATAATTATATCACCAAGAAAGCTAACAGTATCAGCCCTGTTCCTATTGAAGCAACTTGATGGTCTTTAAAAGGTTGAATTGTTAAGTGTAAAAACAACATTCTGAAAAAAAATTATAAAAATTTTTACAGACGGTGACATTGCCCTTTTATATACTATGCTTTGCTTCCTTCACTTTTGTTTCTACCTTATCTTGGACTTCCAGGCAGCCAGTTTGGGTGAGTCAATACTGAACAGGCTTCTACATATGATTTAAGAGCATTCCTCTTTTATATTTATTCCTACTTGCTTTGAACAACCACAGCAACACTTTAATCCTTCACAAGAAAATTCACCATGGACAACTTCAGCAAATCTGTCTCTTTCAGTGTCAACAATGTATCCCACCAGTTTCACCAATACACCTCCTACTCAGGTTTGAGGAAGGAAGACTCCAAGTGCACAGTCCACTGTGGCCGTGCTCCCCGGACGCAGACAGTCCAGGCGCAGCACGTAACTGAGCAATGTTTGCTTTATGCTGACAAAGTTGAAGGCACTGTCTTTACTCCCTGGTTCCAAGATGTTAGGAGAAGTAAGCAGGTGCATTTGCTATCACGATTTAACTTCACACATCAACAGGAACACCCCAACAGGCATCTTTGTCATCTACAGAAGTTCCCCCAAATCATAGCATCTAAAAACAAAGATTTCATTATTCTCTACCAAAATTTTCCAAAAAAGCAGTCTGGAACTGACAGCTAAGGATCAAAGTATTGTTAAACTTAGGTGACCTTTTCTGGGCAAACCAAAAAATCTCAGCCACATTTTAAAATACTAATCTAATTAATTAAGATGCACGAAGGTTAATTAAGGAAAACCTAATGAAATAGAAACTACACACATGCAAATTTGACTTTTCATGTAAAATTCCTAAGTCACTTTCATTTGGCTCAGGTGATTTTACTATCGTTTCTTATACATTATTACTCTTATAAAAACTGGGAGAAAAGTTTCAAGTTTATTCTATTCACAAAAAATATATTGCTTAATTTATTTTTATGTATGTTTAAGAGGGTGATATGCTTTACTTGGTAGGCAATAAAGCACTGGCAAGAAATTCTTTCATTGCTGAACAAATGCAGAATTCAACTAAACAGTACTCTATTCACTTGGTGTTTTAAGTGATTAAAGCTTATGCAGTTGATTCATCAGAGTTCTCCTGTAAAACACTAAGACACCAAACTTCATTTCTACTAATTCAAGTGTTTGTGTAAAAACAGAGAAAAGCATATACTGAAATTATTTCTGCTGTGTATGAGTAGAGCAAATGCTTTAGAATTTGTTTTGAGCAGAATTAAAATATAGCTAAGAAAATGCTATCTTTTTTATAAAAGGCATTCTAAAACTCAAAATAAGGCAAAAGCCTTAAGTAGGTAGCATTTAATAAGATTCTTTTACTTTTTTGGCAAAGAAATGAAAAATAATCAAATATGAAAAATATTGGTAGCCATTTTGTAATTGCATTATAGTGAATTCTTCATGTATAAGGCAATTTCAAAAACTACATGTGACAGGCAGAGCTAACCATATTAATTTTTGGTCAATTTAGGAGACCCAACAAGGCACAATGCACATTAAATATATATTTATGAGATCAAAAAGAATATATGTATATATGTATATATATTTTGATATCAGATTCATTAAATATTTGTTATAGTGAATTTTTTCTGACACTCTTTTATAGTTATTTGAAAGGTGGAGTGACAGCAAGCGAGGAAGAGGCAAAGAGGGGAGGCAGGTACTCTTCCAGCCACTGGATCATTCTTCAAATGGTCACAAAAGCCATGGCAGGATCTCCACGCTGCTCCCCCTCGGATCATCACCAGCTGCCTCCCAGGTTCATCAGGGAGCTTCTGGCTTGGAAGCAGAGCCTGCACTTGAATCTAGGCACTCTGGTGTGGGGTGCAAATGCCCCCAGCAGCATCTCAACTGATGTGCCATATGTCATGTGCCAGGAATTCTCCAATCTTTTCATCTAAACTTCTGAATTGCATAGAGGAACCTGTTCCAAGTGCTCATTTTACCTACAGTGTAATTGTAGTAACATAAAGCAGTGTTTTGGACTGAACTGTATTCATTCAAAAGGTTGTACTGAAGTCTTAATTACTGGTACCCCAGAATACAACTTCATTTGCAAATAAGGTTACAGACTGCATCCTTAATTCAGCATATTTGATGGTCCTTATAGAAAAATGAGGCCAGGGACGCACAGAACCCCTCATGGCAAGGGTACAGACTAAAATTATGTAAATTTAAGTCAAAGAACACCTGGGGTTGCTAGGAAGTGGCAGAGGGCAGAGGCCTGTCTTCATACATGGAACCTACAGTCCTGGGAGGCAGTTCAGGTCTCTTTTGTACCTTAGTAGAGCTACCCTAAAAAACCAAGAAGAGGCTGAGTGAAGAGACATCTGAATGAATGAAGAATTCCTAATACTGGGTTTCTGAAAACAATGGGACTGAAATTGATGAAAACTCTTATGCTGCTAGCCTAGAACAACCTTAATCTTAATATACAGTGAAAAGTTAATAATTTTTACAAAAGGACACATACAACAAGAATACACTTTAGGAGAAAACAAGCCATAAAATGGGAGAAACACACAAAACACATAAATGATTTAAAATACGGTTATCTAAAATATACAAGGAAAGCTCAACAACAAGAAAATAAACGAGATGGTTTAAACATGGGTGAAAGAACAGAACAGAAACCCACCTCATCAAGGAAATACATAGGGGCCAACAAGTATTTGAAGATACTCCGTATCACACATTATCAGTGCCTACAGTGAGATACCAGCGCACCTATTGTGACAGCTGAAATCCCAAGTGACAACATCAAATGCTGATGAGAATGTGGAGCAACAAGAACTCCTGATGGCTGCCAGTGGGCAGCAAATGTGAACAACACATTGATCATGCTGTGTACCACTGATGTGGTACAACCACTTTCAAACACAATGCAGTGGTTGCTTACAGCACTGAATACAATCTTACATACAATTCAGTAGTCACACTCCTTAATGTTTGCCCAAATGAGCTGAACACTTATGTCTATGCAGAACTCTACACCCGGATGTTTATGGTAGTTTTGGTCATAACTGCTAAAACATGGAAGCATCAAAATGTCTTTTAGTAGGTAAAGAAACTGTGGTATGTCTAGATATTATTCAGCAATGAATCACATTCAGTGCTAAAAAGCTGTGAAAAGACATGGAAGAATCTTAAATGCATATCAGTAAGTGAAGGAAGCCAATCTGCAATGGCTACATATGTATTTTGCCAAAGACATGATACACAGGGGAAGGCAAAGCTCTGAAGAAAGAAACAAGATCAGCAGCTGCCAGAGTTGGGGGAAGTAAGGCATGAACACGAAGACAGCTTGTAGAGCGATCGGACCACTCTCAATACTGTGATGGTAGACATATGTCATCATACATTTCGCAGAGCTCACAGAACGGATGATGCCAACAGTGAACGTTGAGTGCAACCCAAGACCTTGGATAACAATGACAATGTCAGTGGAGGGTCACTTGAGTGTAACACATGGACTAGGCAGGTGCAGGCCGCTGACAATAAGAGGCTCTACACAAGTGGGGACAATGAATAGAGTGAAACTCGATAGGCTTCTGGCTCAGTTTTGCTGTGAACCTAAATTGCTTTAAGAAAATAAAGTCTTGGAAAGAAAAGATTCCACCATGCAAGGCCTGAGCAGCTGCTGTGTGAAAGTGTGAGAAAGACACTGAGAGGCTGTGATAAGAAAGGACAAGACAGAAAAAGCTCTGGGGAGCTGGGACCCAGAGAATTCCATTCTGGTGGAAGGAAAAACAGTTTGCTTCAGACCAACATTGCTGCCACAAGCAACTGCGAGTGGAGAAGTCAAAGTGCTAACTCTAAAAGCCACCAAGGCAGTGAGAACCTGAGGGACCCAGCTCCCCACCAGAAAGGAACCCACAGAGGACAACTCAATATGCAGAGCCACTTTCCCTGCCAGGTGTTTGTCAAGCTGTAAGTAGTAGCTGGCAGGCTGAGCAGCCAAACAAAAGCTTTGAAGACTGAAACACTACACAACCTGGTACACCGGCAGGAGCTTGGGGAACTGGGAAGGAAGGGTCAAGATCTGCCATGAGGGACAGGCCGTGGGCACCACAACAAAGTTTCAGTTGGGAATCAGAACTGCACATGGTGATATGCTGGACCTAGGTCACACAGGCTTACAAAAGGTGGCTGTGTACACCTTCTGCCAATTTTGTGGCCAGGGGCGTGGTGGGTTTGAAAGCAGCAACACTAGAGGGGTTTGTATCAAGGGATCCGGCAAATGCTGTATGCCTAGACCCATTCTCCTGAGAGGCTTTTGTTAAGCAATTGCCAGTACACAAGGCCAAGGCAGAAATAAGCCAATCCTCAGAAAGACTAGGAAACCATTCCAAAAGCCAACGCAGTCCAAGAGAGAGGCAAAACAGCTAGTCCTTCCTTAGGGCCCTCGTTGTCCTCTAGAATATAGAGGGTTTGTTTTGTCTGATAAATGATGGTCATTACTCAACAAAAAATTATTATGGACATGGAGAGGAACGAGAACACGCTGAAGTTTTCTGTTCGTTTGTATCGTTTAAAGAAATTAAGAAGGAATTAAGAAGAAGTGAGATTTACACATTGGGGAAATTAGGAAGTAATACAACAGTAATATGTTCATAAAATAGAAAGGAAAATATGGAAATCTTAACTAGAATAACAGAATCTATGAAACAGAATCAATTTGTAATTCTAGCAATAAAAAATGAACAAATATTAGAAATTTCAAAAATGCCATGGGGGGGAGGGTTGTGGGAGGGGTGGGGGAAATCCCAGTGCCTACAAAACTGTATCACATAATACAATGTTATTAACAATAAAAATAAAAGAAAAAAAAAAAAAGGAAAAAGGGGCCAGGACAGGCAGCACAAGAACCCTTCCAGCTTAAAAAAAAAAAAAGAAATTTCAAAAATGGATTTTATAGGTTGAAAACAAATAAAGGGTTGACTTTGGGAAGGAGACACAAGGACCCAGTTCTGTTCAGTGGCACGTTGGATGTTCAAACCAGACAAAAGCAAAAAGAAATAAAAGTTACGAGGATTGAGAAGAAAAAAATAAAATCACAATTATCGGATGATAAAATTGCACACAGAGAAAGCATGCAAAATTAAAGCTACAAATAAACAAATATATTTTAAAAATTTCTGAAGAGCAACAAAAAAATGAAAACCAAAAATCTTAACCATAGCAAAAGAGATAAATCTAATCAATAATATGTGAGACATACAGAGTATGTATGGAAGCATTACTGACAGAAGTTGGAGATCAAAACAACAAAATGCCATGTAATTCAGGGATAGAAAATTTGATATTGTTACAATGTCAAGTTTCATCAAGAATGACCAGTAAAATAACTACCATGCTAATAAAACTGACGGCCTGATTTCTGCTAGACCGACAAATTTAGAAGATCTTAAATAACTGCAACTGGACCATAGCTGTAGAAGTACAATGGAAAATGACAGCACCTATAAGATGGTGTGGTAAAGTAACACATTTCTTAAACAGGACACAGAAATCACTAACAATAAGAAAAGTACTTCTACCACCGTATTATATTAAAGGTTAAGGATGTTCTTTGAAAGGTGGCATGATAACAGCTGAAATGACAAGTTACAGAATGCAAGAAGCTATTCCAGTTACCATGATCTAGCCTACCAAAGGTTTATTCCCCAAATTCCTATGTAATTCCCATTTATCAGGAGTAAACTTGAGAAGTCAAAGGACAAATGAGTAACAGAGTTGAATGGGCACTAAATGGAAAAGGACAGTCCGTAAGCGCACTGTACTCAGTATCGTTTCTTAGCAGGGAGAGGTTACGTCAGAGTGAGGCACATTCTATTTCCTTCAGAAGGGTTACCATTGCCAGCGCCACACTGCCAAATGCTGGAGAGTACGGACAGCAGCTATCACTTCCATATACTGTGGCTGCAAATGTCATCATTTTGAAAAATCATTTTGTGGGCCCGGCATGAAAGCGTAGCATTTAAAGTCCTCACTTGAACGTGCCAGGATCCCATATGGGCGCTGTTTCTAATCCTGGCAGCCCCACTTCCCATCCAGCTCCCTGCCTGTGGCCTGGGAAAGCAGTCAAGGATGGCCCCAAAGCTTTGGACCCTGCACCTGCGTGGGAGACCTGGAAGAAGTGCCTGGCTTCAGACTGACTCAGCTCCAGCCGTTGTGGCCGCTTGGGGCGTGAATCATTAGATGGAAGATCCTCCTCTCTGCATATCTGCCTTTCCAATAAAAATAAATAAATCTTTAAAACAAAATGAAAAACCATTTTGTATTATCTACCAAAGCAGCTCAACTGTACCATCTATGACTAAGAAACAACCCTCCTAGTTGAATACACAGCACAAATGTGGACACGTGGGTAGCACAGGATACAAAAGAGCTGATTAGCTGTATTAGAAATATTGGGTTACTAAACACACCCAGTTCATTTCATTTGGTTTTAAATTGGAAAGTTGTATTTACAGAGCAAAGAAGAGACAGAGAGAAAGATCCTCCATTGCTGGTTAGTCTCAAAGAGGCTAACGCAGTTGGAGCCAGTAGCCAGGAGCTTCTTCTGGGTCTCCCACACTGCTGCAGGCTCCCAAGGCCTTGGGCCATTTTCTGCTGTTTTCCCAGGCCACAAGCAGGGAGCTGGATGGGAAGTGGAGCAGCCGGGTCACAAACCAGTGCCCATATGGGATCCCGGTGCATGCAAGGCAACGACCCCAGCCTACCATGCTGCACCCTTTTTTTCTCATCTTACCTTTCAACATTTCCAAATCTTTATTTTTACCAAACTCAGAATGTGGTGACAAAACACCCTTGTATCACTGCAAACAACTAATCAACTATGACACTCAGACATTTATCTTTGCATTCCACATGCACATTTTCTATTGTAAATCTGTAAAACTGGGCCCAGGGTGGTGGCCTAGTGGCTTAAGTCCTTGCCTGTCACATGCTGGAATCCCATATGGGCACCAGTTCATATCCCAGCGGCCCTGCTTCCCATCCAGCCCCCTGTTTGTGGCCTGGGAAAGCAGTAGATGACAGCCCAAAGTATTGGGATCCT